GTGCTTTCGAAACACACTGTAATCCCTACTGCTGTTTTCCTCTTCTAAAATGATCATTAAAAAACCAACAATAGCTCAGCAGCCGACTGACACAGAGGCACCTCCGTTTCCACCCGTGTAGAAGGCGCTTCTCTGCACGTGCGTGTGGTGGGGGGGAGCCCTTGCAGCATATGGGGGCACTTCTGAGGCTGGCAGCAGCTGCCCGGCGTGCATGCTTGGGGGCGTTCCAAGGCTCCAGAGCTGGGCTGCAGCCACCAAATGCCTCCCCAGTCCCGCCCCCACGCCCCTAGCTGCCCTGGCCTGCTTTTTCAGCAGCTGGGAAAGCACAGGGGTGGGACAGGAGGCAGCTGGCACTGGGAGGGTCGGCTGGATGAAGGATGAAGGGCTGGCGCGGCTCCTCGTAGGTCCTTGAGGTGAGGCAAGAAGTCGAAGATGGGAGAGATTGGCTTCGATTCTTGGAACTTGCCCCAAGGGGCTGGGGGGTGGTGGCCACGAAACTTTTGCACGAAGTGGCAGAACATGAAGTGCTGGTCCTTGGTCTCCAAACCAGAGTTGGCGAGCTCTGGAAGAAGCCCGACAGGCCGTCTGGTCGACTCCTCAATCATTCATTCATTCATCCGCTCATTCATTCAATGTGTGCTTATTGGACACGCGCAGGGGCTGAAATGGGACGGAGAACAATCCCAGGGCCTGCCCCCTCCGAGCTCGCACTCTCACTGGGAGGGACAAACTTTAAGCAAGCAAATGAATAAATAGCTCGTCAGCTGGCGATCCGTGCTGCGGGAACAGGAAGACAGGCTGGGAGGCAAGGGACGGTTTGGGTCTTACTCGTTGGTTAGGCTAATAAAGGTGTTGGTCACTGATAATGAGACGGAGAACAATCCCAGGGCCTGCCCCCTCCGAGCTCGCACTCTCACTGGGAGGGACAAACTTTAAGCAAGCAAATGAATAAATAGCTCGTCAGCTGGCGATCCGTGCTGCGGGAACAGGAAGACAGGCTGGGAGGCAAGGGACGGTTTGGGTCTTACTCGTTGGTTAGGCTAATAAAGGTGTTGGTCACTGATAATGATTTTTTTTTCTTTTTTGAGAGTTTTTTTTTTGCCATAGGGCGTGTGTGTTCTCCAGACAGACAGACAGACAGAAAGCGAGAAATCACCTCACAGGGGGGATGGCCGCGCCGCAATCCCTTCTCTTCCATTCTCCTCTTGGGATCTTGGGCATGCAAGCTCACATGCGTGAGTTTAAGCCGACATGTCCGGGACTCAAACCACGGTCAGCTACATGGGAGTCCAGCGACATAGCCATTACGCTAACTGCTGGTCTCCCATTGCTTCCTCTATAAAAAGTTCTGTCATATTTAGGCCTTGTTTATCTCTCTTTCTTTTGTACTCACTCTACATTTTTTTCTTTTCTTTTATTTTTTGAAAAGTTTTTGCTATAGGGCACGTGTGCTCGCCAGAAAGAGAGAGACAGAAAGCAAGAAATCACCCTCCAGGGGGGATGGCCACACTGCAGTCCCTTTTCCTCCATTCTCCTCTTGGGATCTTGGGCATGCATGCACATGCGCCTGGTGTGAGTTTAAGCCACTGGGTCCGGGACTCGAACCACAGTCAACCACATTGGAGTCCAGCGACATAGCCGTTATGCCAACTGCTGGTCCCTAGGAAACCCATTCTCTGCAACCCTTTTCTTAGAAATGCATTCTATAGGTTCTCCCTGCTGGCAAGCCTCAGCTATGAGCACTCCCCATGTTCTTTATATGATAATCAACGAAATGAATATGAAAAAACTAATAAGGGGGCTGGCAGGCGGCCTGGTGGTTAAGGCATTGGACTCCCACAGGGTCGACTGTGGTTTGAGTCTCAGCTCTGGCAGCTTGCTTTCTCACTTCCCTTTCTCTCTCTCTCTCTCTCTCTCTCTCTTGTGGTCAAATTTAAAAACAATAATAAATCAAAAAAAATTATTTTAAAAACCCAGTAAGAGTCCACGACTGGGTTCTTTATTACCAAGTACTTTTAACATAAGGAAAAATAATGTCAAGTACATGCAAAACATTCACTTAATATCTGAGTAGAGATTTTAAAACCTCTTTAGGAATAATGTCAGCTGAATTTTCCAATAAACAAAAAACTTCCTACAAGATATCAGCTGAATTTTCCAATAAACAAAATATTTCCTACAAGCTTTTTTTTTAATATGTAATTTTTTCATTGATTTCCCCCCCTATGGAAACATATTTTTTTCCTCTTTAAATATTTTTCTTTTTTAAAATTTTTATTTATTTGGGTTTTTTTTCTTTTCTTTTTTTTTTTTTTTTTTGAGAGGTTTTCGCTATAGGGCGCATGTGCTCGCCAGACAGACAGAGAGAGACATAGAGACAGAAAGCGAGAAATCACCCCCCAGGGGGGATGGTCATGCCGCAATCCCTTCTCCTTCATTCTCCTCTCAGGATCTTGGGCACGCACGCCCACGTGCCCGGCGTGAGATTTAAACCACCGGGTCCGGGACGCGAACTGCGGTCGACTACGTGGGAGTCCAGCGACATTGCCATTACGCTAACTGCTGGTTCCCTTTATTTGTTTTTTAATACCTTTGATCACATTATTTAACTTACAAAGTGAACATTTCAACAGGTGAGCGTTTCTCCCCAATCTAGTTGATCAAAATATCTTCAACAGATAACCCCGCTACCTCCCCATCCCATCAACGCTGTCTCCCTGTCTCCGTATCCCTCCTCCAAATGTCCTTCCCAGGCCCCACTCCTCCACACACACCTGTCACTCGCCTCTCCTGTTTCTTCCCACAAGCTCTGTGTTAAATAGGTCTAAGAAATCAGAACATAACACCCAACCAGGACTTGTATGAGAACAAGTTCAGTGTACACAGGGTGGTGTGGGGGGATCAGGATTAGGACTTGGCCCAAGAACCCTCCTTTGTAAAAACCCTCCTTCCCCCATTGTCTTCCATATGAAAAATTTAAATAAACTATTCATCAGAAAGGCAACGCCAGCTTGTACATAAGTCTGTTTGACCCTGATATTTCTGTCCAAAGCGAGTGCAAACAAGGAAGCGTTATTATTTTTTTTTTCCCTTTTCATTCTTGTTCTACAAACAAACACCATAAAAAAAAAAAAAAAAACACACACACACACAAAAAAAACTAGAAATATCAGATGGACCTGGAGGTACTTAATGCACAGCAGGCTGAACTTTTTACCTGTGAGCTCGCTCTGCGTGTGCACCAGCGGCTCTGATGGAAATGGGACGATTGCGTTGAGCCCCTGGGTTAGATGTTGGATTCTCCTTGACTCATCATTTTGCTTTGGTTTCTGTCTCTTGGTCAAATCCATGAAATGACATTGCTGGTAAGACTCACGCTTTTATTAGTTTTTTTTTTTAATTTGTTTATTTTGATTTTGTAAATTTTGCTATAGGACAGGTGCTCTCACTGAAGAAGGGCAGAAAGAGAGAAAGCACCCCCCAGAGGGAATGGCCATGCCGTAATCCCTTCTGCTCCATTCTCCCTTCAGGATTTGGGGGCACACACACACACACACACACACACAAATGTTCTGTGTGTCTTTTGTTTTCTTTTTCTTTTCTTTTCTTTCTTTCTTTTTTTTGGAGAGGTTTTTGCTATAGGGTGCATGCACTCGCCAGAAAGACAGACAGAAAGTGAGAAATCACCCCCCAGGGGGGATGGCCACACCACAATCCCTTCTCCTCCATTCGCCTCTTGGGATCTTGGGCACGCACACACACACACCTGGCATGAGCTTAAGCCACCGGGTCCAGGACTCGAACCACAGTTGACTACATGGGAGTCCAGCAACAAAGCCATTACATCAACTGCTGGTCCTAATTTTTTCTTTTCTTTTCTTTTCTTTTTTTTTGCTATGGGGTATGTACACCCACCAGAGAGGGGGAGTGGAGAGCAAGAGAGAGCAGGGAAGTGAGAAATCACTTTCCAGGGAGATGGTCACTTCATAATCTCTTTTCCATTCTCCTCTTGGGATTTTGGGCACACGGGCACATGCGCCTGGTGTGTATTTTTTTCTCTTTTCTTTTTTTTTTTTTTAAGTTTTTGCTATAAGGCACATACACTCGCAGAGAGAGACAGAGAGAGAGGGAAAGTGAGAAATTACCCCCCAACGGGGATGGCCATCCCACCATCCCTTCTCCTCCGTTCGCCTCTCAGGACTTTGGGCATGCATGCAGAGATGCCCACATTATTTCCAAGCCACCAGGTCTGGGACTCGAACTGCAGCCATCAGCCATGTGGAATCTAGCTGCCTTCACCACCACACCACTGCCTGGCCCCCAGAATGATGTTTTTAAAGAAATAAATATAGAAAGGCCAGATGGTGGTGTGGGGGTGATGGGTAAGCTCCCTGAGATTTCTCTGAGTGAAAAGTTGTAGTTTCCACTAACACTGGTGACATTCATTGCTGAAAATAACAACAAACCCCCTACGTTTTATTTAAAGATTAGTGAAAGTAAGAATTCAACTTTTTTGGGCCGAGGACTGGCATGGTGGTGAAAGTGACTAAATCCCACATGCTGACTACATGGTTCAAGTCCCAGATCTGGTCTCCAGAAAAGTCACCAGGCATGTGTGCATGTATGACCAAAATCCTGAGAGGAGACAGGAGGAGAAGGGATGGATTGCAGTGTGGCCATCCTCCCTGGAGGATGCTTTCTGATTATCTCTGCCTGCCTGTCTCTGTCTCTGTTAAGTACATATGTGCTATAATAAACTTAAAAAAATTAAGTTTTTTATCAAGATTTTCCTGAATTCTATCAATGGGCCCTAGGCTACCAATCTCTGAGCGAATGGAAAACAAACAAAGCCCCAGTTAATAAACAGTTAAAGACCTGTCACCACCTGACGCAAAACCTTCCAGGCTGGGAATGCCATTCCTTTCCCAACCCTTTCTCTGGGACCCTCCGTCATAGGTACTCAGGAAGGGTCAGTCCTGCCCACGCCATCTCCCAGTTACCTGGTGTTGCGGTTCTCTGGATATGCTGTTTCTGACCCCTGGAAGCATGCTCAGAGTAGACCCTTCCTGCAAGAGACAGGCCACACAAAGACAGCGACTCAGATAAGGCACTGCAAAATCTCCCAGGAAATTGAAGGAAAATAGGACATTTATCCTTCTGTTTGTGGGTTTTTTGCTTGTTTGTTTGTTTGTTTGTTTTTGCCATCTGGTGCCTGTGCTTGCTGAAACAGAGACAGAGAAGGAAAGTGAGAAATCACCCCAAGGGGGGTGGTGATTGCCACACTGCAAACCCTTCTCCATTCTCCTCCTGAGATTCTGGACACACACACGCACACACACCTGGTATGATTTCTAAGCTGCCAGGTCTGGGACTCGAACCACAGTCCCCCCTGTGGGAATCCTGTGCCTTAACCATTATGCCACCTGCTGGTCTGAAAATAACACCATTTATGGGGCCAGCAGGTGGCACGGTGGTTAAGGGTGTTGGATTCCCACATGGCCGACCATGGTTCGAGTCCTGGACCTGGCGGCTTTCTTTCTCTCTCTCTTTCTCTCTGTCCCTCTCTGGTCAAATTAAAATAAATAAATATTATTTTTAAAAAATAACACATTTATCTCACTGACTTAAACCTGTCAGTGATTCTACTTTCATTTCCTGGAATTGAAAAATGACTTTAGCTAGTAGTATTTTATTTCCCAGCCAAATATGCTTTTCTGAGAGTACAATTTGAGGTCAAGAGATGATGTTCTAGAAGAGCCTAGCTTTGGGATGATTAAAATTGGACGAGGCCAGGACCATGTGCCCAAAATCCCAAGAACAGAAATGGAGGAGAAGGAATTGTGGGGTAGCCATCACCCCCTGGGGGAGTCCTTGGAACCAGTGGGCAGTATAATGGTTATGTCGCTGGACTCCCACATTAATGACTGTGGTTCGAGTCCTGGACCTGGTGATTTAAAACTCATGCTGGGGACGCGTGTGTGTGTTTGAGAGTGTGTGTGTGTGTGTGTGTGTTTGAGTGTGTGTGTGTGTGCCCAAAATTCCAAGAAGAGAATGGAGGAGAAGGGACTGCGGCGTGGCCATCCCCCTTGCAGCGGGGTGATTTCTCGCTGTCTCTCTGTCTCGCTCTGTCTCTCTGGTGAGCACACACGGCCCATTGTAAAGCAATTTCTCTAACCAAAGGGAAAAAAAAAAGTTTCCTGTACAATATGAAAGTACAACGTATAACTACTTTTATAAATGATCAATATAGTTAGTGCTGCAAGCAGAGTGAATGTTTTGTACACAAGTGTGTGTGTGACACTGCAGAGCGCATAATGATTTTAATAGTGTTCCAGGACACACCACTTACGTAGGCAAAGAAAACACCGTGCTTTATTCTAAAGCTTTATTCTTTATTCTAATGCTTTATTCTTTCTTTGGAAAGAATTCCAAAAGTTAGCTCATATGAGCAAATGCTGTAATGATAATGACCACCCCTGGAAACTTCAGTTTTTAATGAAACTGATCTAAATTGAGGCATTGTCCTTTGAACATAATACCTTGCTTAATGTGAAAAGTCAAGAAACTATAAAGAGTTGTACTTAATATAAACTTTGACATGTCAACCAGGGCGATCTGAATTCTAGATTTAACTATTGAGAATCATGAGCAAACAAATTTCCAGGTATCTACAAGGTTCTTGATAAACCAAACCTCTGAGAAATTGTTTTGTAAGTAAATTTGCAATGAGGTAAAAAAAAATTGTTTTTGTTTTTTGAGAGATTTTTGCTATAGGGCATGTGCACTCGCCAGACAGACAGAGAGAGACAGAGAGACAGAAAGCGAGAAATCACTCCCCAGGGGGGATGGCCACGCTGCAATCCCTTCTCCTCCGTTCTCCTCTCGGGATCTTGGGCACGCATGCACACGCGCGTGGTTTGAGTCAAAGCCACAGGATCTGGGACTCAAACTGCGGTTGTCTACATGGGAGTCCAGCGACATAGCCATTATGCCGACTGCTGGTCCCATCATGATATTATTTCAATATCTTATCACTTTAAAAATGCTTGAGGCTTTTTCCATTCTCCTTTCTTTAGTAAGCCTTCAAAATCTGGTAGGTATTCTCCAGTTCTGTGCAGCTCAGTTTGGGCCTGCCCCCGTTGAGGCGCTCAAGGGCCACCGCGTGCCAGTGACAGCACCACGTTGGAGCCAGGATGGCCAGTATAGCTGGCAGACTTTCCCAACCCTCACCTCTGTCTCAGCGCCTTTTCTGTTATTTATTTATCTTTTTAAGTTTACTTCTTTCTTCTATGACAGAAAGTGAGAAATCACCCCCCCCAGGGAGGGATGGCCATGCCACAATCCCTTCTCTTCTTGGAATCTTGTGCACGCAAGCACATGCGCCCAGTGTGAGTTTTAAGTCGCTAGGTCTGGGACTTGAACTGTGGTTGACTATGTGGGAGTCCAGCAACGTAACCATGACACCATTTGGTTGGTACCTCCCCCATATCTTTTCTTAGTGAATCCTGATTGGTTGGACTGAAGAGGGCAGACCCACGTAAGCTAAGCCCTGATAGGTCGGTTTCCCCAGGGCGGGCGCTGTCTTTCACTGTGGACCCCAGCAGCTAGAGCAGAACCTAGACTGTGACACGGCTACTGGTGACTTGTCTCTGCTTGTCATCCTAGCTGGAGAGCTAATGAACACTGCTCCTGGCCAGTAAATGCTTATTGCTCGAGAATAATTTTAAATTAAGTGTAAACGTTATGAAGGAAATGTTTTAAAACTTGTGACTTGAAAGAAAACTCATATCAGTTTTAAAGCTGAAAAAAGTGAGTCCCCGCTCTTTTTCACACTCACAGTGCGACTGCTGAATATAAAGGTTAAGTTCTAAAGATTTCCCAGTAGGACGAGCAGATGGTTACATTGCTGGACTCCCATGTAGTTGACCAGGGTTCGAGTCCCGGATCTGGTGGCTTAAAACTCATGCCAGGTGCATGTGCGTGCATGCAAAAATCTCAAGAGGAGAGTGGAGGAGAAGGGATTCTGGTGTGGCTGTTGCCCCTGGAGGGTGATATTTTACTTTCTGTCTCTCCATCTCTCTCTGTCTCTCCAGCGAGCGCGTATGCCCTATAGCAAAAATCTCTCTCAAAAAGATTTTCTAGTAGATTTTATACTATGAAAAAACTAGGGTGATCCTCCCATGAAAGCATTTATTACAGTGTCTATAATCACTTGGTATGCCGTATATGTGACTGCGGTACTATATAATAAAATCTAAACACCTAACAAAGCTCCCCATAATTTCAGCCTATTTTTAATGAATTTCCTGAAGAAGCACAAGATCAAATGAGCACGTTAATTCACAGTGATTGTCACAACATTGCAGGCATAAGTCACTGTATTTTAGTGTTTAAAAGGGGGTTCTGAAGAAGTTCAGTAATTACGATCATTATCATGATTATTATAATAACTATCATTTGTCAAGCGCTTATTGTGCTCTAAGAATGAAGCTAAGGGCTTCCCATACATTATCTCATTAAAGCTTTAAAATAAGGCTAATAATCGTTTGCTTAACGTCATCCAGTGAATACATGAAACAGCCAGGCGTAATGCCCTGGTCTATTTGAGTCTCCAGTCTGGAATCTAGATCATTCAGTTGGTCTACCTTCCCCACTTTTGTAGACAAAAAACATAGTCAAACCCAGAAAAAGCGCATGAGCTGGCTAAGATGATACAGCTAGGGAGGCAGAGTCAAAATTTGAATCTGCAAGGACCAGCAGTTAGCGTAATGGCTATGTCGCTGGACTCCCACGTAGTCGACCGTGGTTCGCGTCCTGGACACGGTGGCTTAAAACTCACGCCGGG